AGCTAGGCTAGATAACCCAGTTCTTTGCTGGGATCTTACACACCCCTACTTCCCTCTCCTGAACCAGCATGCTAAGGAGCACGATGGGTCATGCAACCCCAGACCCAGTCATCTGTTTTGTGTTTGAATATACAGCTTTTCACATCATACAGCCCAAGTGCACATCTTCAGCCCCTTGCAATGTATCTGTAACATGACCGTAACATGACAAGAACCTTTTAAGATTTTCATCAGTATTAAGAGGTCTGAGTGCTTGCAGAAAAGTCAAAAGAAAGAAACTAAGCAGAGATGGGTGGTTTGAATTGGGGCCTGGAAGTGGTTACTTGGGAGAAATGTGAAGGGGGAAATGTGATAGGATGCAAACTTTTAAAGGTATTTGGTCCACGGTTCTCTCTGTGACAAAGCCATAAAGATACAGGGGAAAGGGCAAAGGGTTGGTGAAACTAATTTTCCTACTGCGAATATATGCTTATGTTTGCCTGTGATCAGACATTCTTGGCCATGCTTTGTAGGGCTTTCTCAAGAAAGAAAGACCATGCATATAGCAGGGTGGGAATGCCTACATCCTACATTTAAAAGGCAGGGCAAGCATCAATTCCCCTTGGTTTATGAGCACCTCTCCAGCTTAATCCTTCATGGAAGTAGAAAGTGTGGCCACTGCAGACTTTCTCTGTCATGTTTTCCATCAGGTTTCAATGAGACACCCACTGGGCTGGTATGCAGTGGTCTCTTACTCATTTGCTTTTCCTCCCCTTAAATTGAAAGGTGTGGGCCCCAGCTTGTAGATGGCTTTTGATTTCTATAATAAAAAGGAGAAGGAGCCTTCCCACTAAGAAGGTGGAGTGCTGAAACAGGAGAGGAACCCCTGCCCTTAACTGCACTCCTTTGAATTCTCGTTAATTCCTCCACCTTTTCACAATTTGCCCTTCACTCCTCCAACCCTAGATATCTCACTGGCTTTTCTCTGTTCTCTTCTCTATCCCCACAGAACCTACTTGAATTAATGTATACCATAGAGATATCACCAGCCATTTCTGAATGGGCTCATTGGTTTATACTGTGTTATTTTTGCTAATTTTCCTTAGAATTACCTTATATGCCACTATCACTCTGTGTCATGCACAGAAAGATGCAACTCCCTGTCATAAATGAAACTCTACATATAAGAAAAAGAATCACTAGAATCCCGAATCCAGCAAGAGAGTATTCAGATAACTAGTACTTCTCCTATGGCAGTGTTTTTCATAGGATGATGTGAAACCGTCATCTAGTGGTCATAATAGGTCTTACCTTATGTTCCTGAAGAGCCGTTTTTGTTTGGATATAGCTGCAATGTTCCTTATTCCCAGGATATATCGCCTGAAAATACTAAGCTAAAATAAAAACTGGAGAGGCTTTGAGGTGAAGGGAAAAACCCTAGAATGTTTGATCAAGAAGGAACAAATGCAAAACTTTGTGCAGCAAGACTGTGAACTCCCTTTCCTTTCTCTCCCACAACTGACCACAGTGACATACGAGCTTCTGCCTTCCTGAACAGTTGTGGGAGGCTGAAGATCAAGATAACTGAAGCTAAAGTAGGGCATCAAAAGAACTTCTCTTGTTAGATACTGTACTACAGTCATTTTGCATATGAGCCTCAATTTCAAATTTCCTCTTAACAATAGCAACACTTCATCCTAATTCATCTTAGAAGGTTGTTTTATTACAGCCTCAGGACAATGCCTGGATTTTCAGCTGGATAAACACAGCCTGTAAGGGAGAAGAGCCTTCAGCCTAGAGGTTTAGGTCTTCTGCTGTGCATTGACTTCAGTAAGATGCAGTAAACCTGCAGGGTTTTATCGAGAAACAACATGTACCTTGAGTGGGCACAGCCTCAAGCTCCTCAAGAGCACTTGGGGTGCAGCCCTCTATTTAAAAGCTCCTATGCAGCAAGTGTGTTGTTAATGCCAGAAGAAAGCTGACTATGTGCATCTCCTCCCAGTGGTCTTGTTCCTATATTGATTGGTGGGACAATCAATGGTGGAACAATGGTCTTGTTCCTATATTGACAGGTGAGTGGCGGGTAAAGCTAATACAAACACCTAGACAATAATGACTGAAGATAGTAGATTAAATGTGAGAAAATCGGAATTGGTATACATTGTGATAAGAATATTCTCTTCTAAAGATGAAAACTATTAGAGCAATGCAATGTTCTGAGTTTGATGACTTAGGCTGTAAGATTGCTGTGTAGCATTAGCACCTGCAGGCAATAGCTGCAAAATGATCCTACTTCGAAGTGGAATTCGTGGTAGACAGAAGCAGGTGTGAATTCTTGTTTTTTTTTTTATTTTTTTTTTATTATAGAGAGATTCATGTGTACTGGCCAGTGAGAAAGCTCGTATGCAAACAAGATGTGTTCTGGAGCAAACTGGATAACATAAATCATAATATTCAGCAAACAGATTTCCCATATAACTCAGTTTACAGATACTGTGTATTATTTGTATGTTCACTGTGTTGGAGCCCGAGTTTTGGATTAGGATCCCTTTATACAAGATGTTTGGAAGAAAAAAAAAGAACCTAAAGATAGCATTTGCCTTGTAATGCTTACAGTTTTACATATATACCAAGAGGCAATGCTGACAGAGGCAGATTATGGGGACTGTAAGGAAATGACAAGACAGTTTGATCTCGAGCAGTAATTCCAGTATGCCCACACCCTAAGCAGTGTCATTTTGTCTTGAACACCCGTCATAGCAAAAGTTAAACAAAGACATTATTTAGGGCATGAAGAAAAATAATGAGGTATCTTTCTAGACGTTTATGTAGTTTCCTAACCAAGGAGTGTTCCATCTGAGGTAAATGAGAAAAAGCACAACTGTAATTGTTTTTAAACTTAACACGTGGTCAAAGATCTGTGTCACTGTTTGTCTGTCAGAAAGAGATGATTTCTCAGTAGTGAATGCCAGAGAGAGCAGGTTAAGCTATGGAAGCCTTTCTGACATATTCACTAGTGAAATACAGTCGGTAGTGAAAATTCTTTGCTCAGTATTTTCTGTGAATTGGTTTTGGTCTGACTGAGTAGCTTCTTTCTGTAAAAATGTATTTTTGGAGCTTTCCTTCTAGTTATGACTAAATGCATTGCATACTTTTCTTCCCCTATGAGTTGAATATGAATCAGTTCTTACACTGCTTGTAAAAATTTTCAGATTTTTGAATTTCTTTCAATAAATGTTCTCTGAAACTTACTTCTTTAGCATCCCCTTGCCAATATGCTCATTCTCTAGATTTGTATAAGGAAACATACTTATTCTCTAGATATGTACAAGGCACTCCCTCCTACAACTGGAGGTAGGTGGCTATGTCAATGCTCATGTGAAAGTAATCCATCTCTAATGTCAAAACTTAAATTTCTGTTGCCAGGAGGATGAAAATAAAAGATGCTGAAGTCTTTTTGATTAGTAACTAAAAGTAAACTGAGCAGAACTATAGAACAATCACACACTGAACCAGGAAGTCTACAGAGGTCATCAGGATTTGTAGTGCATCTATTCTTTAGTACTACCAGTGCCATCTTAAAGAACAGGCCCTTGGTCTGATGGACTTCATGAGGAGCTCTGCTGCACTTCAGTGAGCAGCACAGTATCTGCTGACTTGCTGTGCGTGCAAGCTCAGTGCTCAGGGTTCTGTACATTCATAAGAACCATGATTATTAGCTGCTTGATTAGAGCAGGAATGGCAATTGTAAACTGTCAAGAGACTGGAGTGGACATGTGAAGATAAAATACAGCAGTGAAGGTGAGAGATGAAATTGAACAAAAGTAAATGTTGCAGCTAGAGATTAAATAAAATATATTGATTAAATGTGCCCAAACAAAAATATTTGTTCATTGGAGCAGCTGAAAAGCTGCTGACTTTCTTCCTATTACTCTGCAACATGCTGAGGAGTTTAGAGGGCAGGCTTTCCTGACCACTAACAGACAGCCAACACAGCATTTTCACATGGAGGATGACCGCAGAACAGTAGCAGCACATTGAAAAGAGAAGTAGCACATACCTTGATAGAGAAAGAGGAATGCAGAAAGGGAGCTTCTGCTCTAAACCTCCTATGCTGCTAGGAAGAAAGAGCATTTGTGTACGTGTGTGAACTTCAGACACTTACCTTGCCTTTACCATAGTCACAAACTATGGGCAAAAGCCTATTTTCTGCCAACTTACTGCAGAGGATCTGGCTACATCCTACACTTTGCTAATCACCTAGCTACAGAAACTGTGGCCTTCCTGCCTACATGAAATTGCAGAATTAGTTGCTGTGCTGGCTGATTGGGCCTTCTAGCCACTTGGTAGCATTGGGCTTCAGGTTAGGAGACATGCATGCCACCAGCAACAGCCTACACGACTCATTCCTCAAAGTGCGCAGTAGTAGGCCTGACTGTGGAACAAAGTAGAGAACAACAACAACAACAACAACAAAATCAGTTAGCAACTTAGTGAAATCTAGGTCTGAATCAAACATGTTTAGTCCAGTGTAATGGACCTGTAAAGGAACTCAAAACCCTGCAGCTAGGCAGCAGGTTAGCAAGTACTGTATTCCTATAAATTTAATATATTCCATATGTACCTATGTAGCTGATTCATGTGCAGTGCCCTAAATATGTTTTTGAGCTTTGATCCCTTCCATTTCAAAATGACGTGCAGAAATGGAGAAAAGCAATACTTGCATGCAGAGAACTCCTGGACAAAATTGTCTGTTTCATATCTGGTAGAGTGAGAATCAATAACCATTTATATCAGTTTACATGAGCAATGCATTCAAGGAACATCAATCAAATAAAAAATCTGTTTTGCAAGCACTAGGTCATAGCTCTCAGGAGGCTATCTCAAAAGAGAGCTCTAGCAATGGGTGTCAAAGAGATTTCTATGGTCTAAAGGAAAAATCCAATTCTTCTGATCCTACCATCAGGGCAGGTACTCATTTGATATTTTAAAATACTGAAATAAGAGGCAGTAAACAGAAGTTTACAGATGGATCTCTTTATTCTTACTGTAAAGCCAGTTCATAATTTAGGTAGTAAGGCATCAATTCAAAACGTTTGAGAAACACTAGTATATAGAGAACAATTTATTTGACTTATTCCCAAAGAATATTTTGGGAAGGTGAGAAGTCACCTTAACATGAGACACATTAAGATATACAAGCTAATTTACATACAACAAAGTGAGCTTGAAAGTACATTTAAAAATATCAATAAAAGATCTAGACATATTCATGAAAATATCTTCAGTTGTGCTAGTAAAAATAAATATGACAACAGGTAGCAGGAATGTTATCCTTTTTGTACATTATTGCACAGTTGTAGGTGATACATTTGAACTTGTTTCGTTGTGAAATATTTGCTGTTAGTTTCTGTTAAAAATAGCTTACCAGATTTGAGTAACATGATTTTTTACCATATCTTAATGCCAATACTCTTAAGAAAGAGAGGAATACTCTTCCTTCAGAGAATCTTAGGGAAAAGTAATCATAACAATAATTTGTCTTACCTAATGAACATGTTTAGTGGAAATACTGAATAGAAACCTAACAAGTGAATTCAACATGCTAGTGAAGTCTCTTTTTTAGTGGATGAACTTATAAATTCATCACTCATTTCAATTTTCTGAACTGGGAGATGAAAGGTCTTCCCTACAGATACTTTTTACCAGTTAAAACTTTTCTGTGATTATCCATACTCAAAGCCCTTATATGAGTCATTTGTAAATTAGAACAAAGTGTCTGTTGCCTGGAGAGCGTTTCATTTTAGCTTAAACACTCTTCCCATCTCCCAAGTCTGTGCAAGATAGTGTCAAATGTGTCAAAGTAATGCCTACAAGTGACTGACAAAACTAGTATCTCCGATTGAAGAATAGCAAAGGGAAGACTGATTACAACATTTATTTTTTTTTTCCGGGAAAATCTATAGCTTGATGTCAGTCAAACTTCCCCAAGGAAAAACAGGAAACCTGTTTGCTTTCCCAAGGAAAAAGGCAAAATGGGAAGAAAGAACTGTGCAGACTCATCAATAAGCATAGGTCTTTGAAGAGACCTAGTGAGCTATGTTGCCCCTGAATCTGAAGAAATCCTCTCAGAAGTTTCTTTCTATGACCAGTCTTTTGTAAAGTGTCTCTCCCCTTTTCCAGTGTTGTTGAATCACTCATTTTGCTGTTGACAGTCCTTATGGAAGATTCTGCCCCCCTGTCAGGTCTGACACTGAGTTGTAAATTGTGTTTTCCTTCTGCACGTAAGTAGTATAAGGTTCCACCTCTGTTGTGTCATCCTAGCAAAACAAAACCAAAAAGTGTGAATACAGGAAGTAGGTTAATTTGGCAAGATTTTTCAAGCCTTTCATCTGGACTGAAGAATGTAACTGGGAAATAATGCATCAGTTTTTATTCTTCTTGGACCCACAAAAACAAAAAACAAAACAATGCACACACAACCAACCAACCAAACCAAACCAAAACAAAACGAAATAAAACAAAACAAAACATAATCTGTTGCTTTTTCTACCAAAGAAGCTGTATTGCTATTTCTTTCAAAGACTTGATGGATAACACTAAAGTATTGATTTGTGTGCTCTTTTCCTCTTCCATCTCTTTCCCTTCTCACTCACTCATTTTCACCTAGAAAATTTAGTATTAGGATCTCTTTCTCTAGAGAGCAAATCACATACTAGGGTCTTGACCAGGATTGATTCCTCCATCAGTCTACAATTTCAGTCTAAAGATATTCTAATGAAAGTTTTGTGATGTGCCAGCAAGAACACTGGCACTTAACCAGTTAGTTTACATTAACGCAACTGTCAGCAATAATTCAGAGGTAGGGAAGCAGAAGAAGAAGAAGAAAAATAACTAGAAGTAACTAAGTCATTTCAGAAATAGAAACTGAAGCTCCTTTTTAAGTTGGTGACAGAATTTGAGCCTATTATGTGCTGCAGGTACATGGATATGCACAATGTAGATGTTTCACAACATAAATGTCTCAGCTTCCCTACATGGAAATGCTGTTATTTGTATTTGGTAGAAGAGAACAGAGATACAGAGCTGATGAGTGAATTTCTCAGCTACATGGGAAGCGTGTAACACCATAGGGAATTCAGGAATATCTCCCATGTTGGACATAAGAGCTCCTTCCATTGTTTTATGAAATGCTTTGGCTTGAGTACAGTTGGCTCTTTTTGCATTTTGACCACACAAAATAAAGACTGGCCTTCAGAATTTGCACATTATCATTCTGAACATTGGGAGAGATTTTTTTTTTCTCTTTCTAGATTTGTTAATTTTGTTGTTTAATGCTTTTGTTTCCTAATAGTTTTCTTAATATTCCCCAACCCATAGGATTGTCTCTCTTACTGAGCACTATTTGTACAGCAGTTGTGGACAGTGTATCTAATATGAGCAGAGGGATGTGGTGGGACTTGCTCCTTACAAAGATAAAGGATGGCAGTTACTGAAATCTTTGCTGTTGGAACATGCCTCTAATGTTTGCTCCAAGTCAAGATTATGGTAATGATAGTCTCTGTTTTGTACTGAGATAAAGCTAAGGACAAACATATAAGACAGAGTAGCACCTGATGAAAGTAAAGAGTAAAAATCTAATGGTTTCTCTTATTGATCATGTTTTCTTGATCCAAGATCCCTGATTTAGTGATGGTCTAATCTGCATCCTTCTCCTTACCTCTAAGGAATGTGTAAGAGAAGTATCAGGAGGTTTGGTTTTGTGACAGAGTCTGTAAAAAAGAAAATAAGCATTAAAGCAAATTTCTTCCTCAATACTAGAATTTGCTGAGGGGTCTTTTGAGCTTCTTTAATCACAAGCCTATGAAATATTTTTCTTTCTTATTATCAAGAGCAAAGCCTAAAAATCTTCTCATGTCTTTCTGTCCTTGACTTTTGATCTGGAAGCACCCTGGCTTTCTTTACGGGTGTCTTCTGATGTTTTGGGGAGCTTAAGTGCAGAGTGGAAGCAGGTTAAAATCAAAATCCTCTGGAAGGTTGTCCAACTCCCCCTTGCTGAAATTGTATCTAACTAATTGTTCATCTTTGAGGGAGAAGGTTGGGAAGAACAACAGTTTTGGAATAGGGGAGGGACAAACCACATCTGAGGTGTTCAGTACAGATGCTAATTCAGCCTTTCTCTACACAAATGTGTTTTTTTTTCTTTTCTTGGAACTGCTTTCTTTTCCACAGCAAAACCAAAAGGGGCTAGAGTCCAGTTTCACCCAGGGAGCTTCTTCATAAATAGAGACAAAATCTGCTGTCTATTCCAGTGACATGGCAGGATAGCACTGGCCAATGCTCTGACACTTGAAGGACCTTCTTAGGCAGAGAACCGTTCCCCTGGTCTGACCAAGAGAGACACTGACGGGCTCTCACAGTACCTGAAGAACAGATTTGCTCTGCTGCTTTCCTGTCAGAATGAAGAGCTCCCATTCAGTGTAGCAGGCAATGCACTGAGGATTCCCTGCCAATTTCTGACCATCTATATTTTACTCGGGGCATTATTCAGTAAAGATGTGTGCAACGCACAGTGTCTGCAGTATAAAGTACAAATATTTGATGTAGTCAATTCAGTTACTCATAGCAGCACAGACTGACAGAATCATGATTTCAAGACACAAATAGTACTTAAAGATTTCTGCTGGCACAAGACAAGTTTACCTTAGCACTCTGTTGTACGTACCTGCAACCGTGGAGCTTAAAGTAGTAAATGACAGCCATGAAGGTGATAATGATCAGGAAACCAAGAGCGATGGCTATATACAGGATAAGGTCACTCTGTGCTAAAGACAAAGCACAGTCTTAATTATGTCTTCTCACTGCTACCTTCCTTTAATATTTCAATATAAGTTTAAAGTTGCTTTAGTATATACATTTTCAACATGCTTGTAAGATAAATATAAATCTTTTCGGCAGAAGAGAAAGTCAATAATGAAACCAGTCTGAGAAATGCAAATATAGTCTGTGTCAGAGAAAAAAACAGATCAAATCCCACAGTGGATACCCATGACATTTATTCACTAAGTCATAGCTGAGCCCCTCGCAAGGACACAGCTTATCCTAGTATTACAATTCATGCGTAGTTCTTCAAGAAGAAAAATCCAAACCAAAAAGCAGAAACCAAATGCCATACAGTGTCAGACATTCCCTACTGAGAATTAAGTGGTTTGTTTCTGCTAGCCACACAAGAGATGGTTCTCTTTCTCTTACCACAATCTAAGCAGGAGATCTTACTGTTGCATCTCAACAAATTTTGTTGATGTTCTGCTTCCATGTGGTTAACAATAAGATCAGGACTGCTTTGAGGCTGCTTACTGCAACTTTCCCACTACCAAAAGAATACTACCACAGTAATGTACTTCCCTTTTAGGGAAGAAACCATTTGGAAATAGTGTCTGTAACATGAACAAACTGGTGATGTTTCTTGGCACATGTGGTAGGGCACGATACTACTGTCTATATAGGATTTCACTGAAGGTTTCTATAATTTTCATGGATTATTCTTCCTAGGAAGAGCAAGAGTTTGAACAGAGGGCTAGGCAGGATTTTGAATGCTGAACACACAAGGGGGAGCTTACGTGAGGAGCAGTATGTGGACATGGTCTCATTCAGAGTTGCGTGGTACACCTTGCAGGTTACAGTCTTCCTGTCGGTGCTGTGTGCTGTGAACCTGCTGAGCACGGTCACTGTCCTGTTGTCGTGGCTGTCTATTTCAGTCGTGGAGTTGTTCTCTGGGACCCACGAGATCTCAGCAGCCGGCCTCCCCGCCGCTGCCTCACACACGGGGATGCTGTGGTTGTCACAGTACAGGGACAGCCTTGGGGGCACTGCAAAGCATCAGGAATGGGAGATGTGTGGGTTGCTGCAGTTGGCAGAGGCTGTTCTTATTCTTTACCCAAAAGGAACGTCATGAGAAGAGGAGAGTCAGGTTGGAGGTGCCATCCCGTCACAGCAATGTGTGCCAAAGTGACAAGGACAGATTTCTTTTTTTTTTTTTTCTCATTTTGGACACCTCTCCCACATTGAGGTGAGTTACCAAAGCCATGTACCGTTAGAGGAGGCATGGAGGGCCTCAGGATCTGGAGGTGGGGAACTGCCCAGAATACAGGGCTGAATCAGACTTCTGTCCCGATCAGCCTTCATGCATGTGTCTTAAAATGGATTTGAATGCCAGGCTAGCAGGAATTGGGGCTGTTCTTCCTGCCTGGGTAACAACATCCCGTGTTTGATCGAATAGCTCAGTACTCGGAGGTGTTGCCCTCCTGTGTTTTTGTCATATTAAAGTAGCGTGTTAGTGAGTGACTACAGGAAAACAAGATGCACGTGCAGACTCCTTCTGTAGTGTACTGGGGATTGCTTCACACCCATCACTTGTAACTCTGCGGGGGAGAAAGGGGCAGCAGAAGGGATAAGTGTTTTGGCAACTGAGGAGAGGGAAGAAACAGAGCTACTAAATGACTGCGTGACCATTTGTGCCACTGAGAAAGCTCCTCTTCTCAGTGCACGCTTCTTCCTGTGCGGGAGGAGAGGAGCTTTGTCTGTCTGGGGCTGGAGGTGGTCCTTTGGAGAAGAGAGAAATGAGGAAGGAGTCCCTTACCTAGCACGGTCAGCTGGTACATCTGGTGGAAATTCCCTTCCTGATTTACCAGTTCGCAGCTGTAATTTCCTTCATCAGCCATTCCCACTTGCTGTATCTCAAGGGCATAAAACTGTTCTGGTTTGAATTCACTTTTCACGCTGTCACTGCAGTTTGTTCTGTTCACCAGGTTCTGATCAGCCCTGAATCCCAAGGTGCAAGGGCCTCCTATCTTGGGGCTTATTTTCCACGTCACCATAGTTGCTCCTGTTCTGGGAGGGCAGGTCATCACAGCGCTGTGACCCACTTGTGCTGCCGTTCTGTTTCCTGGTGGAGACAAAGAAGGAGAAGGATGTGTGAAAAGGTGCCCAAGGATGTCACTCACAGCTTTGGAGTTCTGGCCTGTGCTTTGGAGGGAAATGTCAGCTCTGTTACACTCCAGAGGGAGACCCTATCTTTGCTCATCCCATGTTGTCCTTCATCTGATATTACAGCTGTTTATTGTGGAGCTGGTAGTGTATTACAGACTACCCTCTTAAAACTATCAACGTTTCCCTCTGGGTCTTAGTGGATAAAACAGATACTGGAGGATGATATCCTGCTCTTGCACACTGGGTTTAGCAAGTCAGCATCCAAATCCTCTGTGTTTGGAACCCACGTGAACGAACCATTCCAGCCCAACCACTTTTCCTACTGTTTAACTAAGTTCTCGGGAAATGTTTTCTAACATGCAAAATTAACACAGTTCACTGCATTTTAGCTACTTACAGATTCCCTTAAAGGTTTTTGCTTTTCCGTTTCGAGGATTAAGTATCGTTTGGGTGAAGACCTTTCCAAATCTAGACCTAGCTCCTGCAGTCTGGTAGGAAATGTAGCTGCAATATTGCCCCATCGTACAGTACACAGTATAGTGCTGTAAAATCTTAGTTACTCCAGCTGTACAACATGTAAATCAGAGGGTAATTCTGATAATTTGTTGGTTTTGTTTGTTTGTTTGTTTTCTGCTAGGAGAGGACAAATATGTGGGGATAGTATATCACTGAAACCATTCACTTCCCATTTCTATTAAAGAAAGGGAATAATACTTAGCTTTCTGCTGCTCATTACTGCCAGAATTCATTGGTTAGTGTTTGCAAGCATTGCTGAAGATGAAAAGTGCTATTTATTTACGTTATTTTCTGATACACAAATTATCCACCAGCCTCACAAATGCTTGTTTTCTTAATTCAATTGTCAACAGTATTCTGTGATACATGGTTGCACTGTATTTAAATGACTTTTTTTTTTCTTCTCTAAATGGCATTGCAAGGAAATGTGAGATGCATGTTTTAAACTCAGATGATTTTACCAGGAGAGGAACTGAAAGAAGCCTTTTGTCTCATGATGAGTTCTGGATGGGAGTTCTATGAACGTCTCCAAAAACTGGCAAACAAATTGTTTCCTTTGCCAGTTTAGCACTGCCAAGTGCCTCAGAGCTCCGAGTCATACCATCAGGATGGCTGACCTCATCTAAAAATAACTAAGCAAACCTAAGCCTTCAGACAGACTCTGTGTTGAGGCTGGTGTTTGTTTTTTTTAAACTAATGTTTGCCAATAGTGACCACAAGTGACAATCTTGTTCCTGTTTAATGGTGTAAGCTTTTATTTACATCTTAGAGCAATATCATTTTAAATGTCTTTCAACTCATTTGAACTCATTAAAGAGGTTAAGATCAAAGGCAGTCTGGGCTGCAGTGACAGCACCCTTGTTGAATTTGTGATCTTGAGGAATATGAGCCTGGCGAAGAGAAAAGAGAGGACCCTGACTTTTTGAAGAGTGAATATCCATCTGTTTAAAGATCTAGCGGATGAGACCGCATGGGATACTGTCCTTAGGGTCAGAGGTGGATCAGAGCTGGCAACTGTTTAAAGATGCTTCTCTTAGGGTACAACAGGTCTCCATCCCCATGTATAAGAAATCAAGCAGGGAAGGCAGGAAACCAGCATGGCTGAGCAAGGACCTGCTGGTCAAACTGAGCTGTAAGAAGGAAATACACAGGCAGTGGAAGCAGGGACATGTGGGCTGCAAAGAGCACAGGGATGCTGCCTGGATGTGCAGGGATGGGATCAGAAAAGCCAAGGCACAGATGGAACTGAGCTTGGCAAGGGGTGCAAAGAATAACAAGAAGGGATTGTACAGATCCATTGGTCAGGAAAGAAAGGCCAAGGAGAGAGTTCCCCCTCTGATAAACAAGAAAGGAGAACTGGTAACGAAAGACATAGAAAATGCTGAGGTACCCAACAACTTCCTTGCCTCGATCTTCATTGCCAGTCAGGCTGCCCACATCTCTCATTTCCCCGAACCTCTAGGTAGGGGCTGAGGGAGCAAACTTTTCCACTGTAAGGGAAAAGCAGGTCGGAGACCACCCCACCAGATGAAACTGTAGAGGTACAAGCCTGTGGGGCCCGATGACGTGCATCCCAGGGTCCTGAGGGAACTGGCTGATGAAGTCGCCAAGCCACTCTCCATCATATTTGGAAAGTCCAGGCAGTCAGGCAAAGTCCCCGGTGGGTGGAAAAAGGGAAACATCACTCCCATTCTTATAAAGGGTGGGAAGGAAGACCCAGAGAACTACAGATCGGTGATCATCACTTCTGTGCCTGGGAAGATCATGTAACAGGTCCTGCTGGAAGCAGTATCACGGCACATGCAGGACAAGGAGGTGATCTGAGAAAGCCAGCACAGCTTCACCAAGGGCAAATTGTGCCTGACCAATCCAGTGTCCTTCTATGATGGAGTGTCTGCATCAGTCGACAAGGGAAGACCGAGCAATGTCATCTACCTGGAATTCTGTAAGGCCTTTGACACGGTCCCACATGCCGTCCTCATCTTTAAATTGGAGAGACGTGGATCTGAAGGGTGGACGATCCTGTGGATAAGGAGTTGGCCAGATGGCTGCAGCCAGAGTATTGTGGTCAATGGCTCTATATCCAGGTGGAGGCCAGTGACAAGTGGTGTCCCTCAGGGGTCTGTCTTGGGACTGGTACTGTTTAATATCTTTATCAGTGACGTAGGCAGTGGGATTGAATGCACCCTCAGCAAGTTTGCAGACAACTCTGAGCTGAGCGGTGCAGTTGATACAACAGAATGAAGGGATGCCACCCAAAGGGACCTGGACAAGCTAGATAAATGGACTCCAGTGACCCTAATGAAGTTCAAAATGTGCA